TCCTGCTGCAGGGCAGAGGGAGGGCTGTGGGGCGCCTTGGTTTGATGGATGCTGCTCTTAAGTGACTATGGGTTGTAACAGATGTGGCTACATGGCAGGGACACCTTTTAAACACTGCAGTAAAAGCACGCTGGGCATCCTGGGGAGCCAGCCAGCCATCGAGGGCTGATGTGAGTATAAAATCAATCTTTTCATAGCCATAAACTCTCTCCTACTAAGCCGGCCTTGAACTTTTACTCTAAGGAACAATTAAAAGGCACATCTATCATATGCAGAACTGCTGCGTAGTCCTTACAGTTGAGTTTTATGGTATCTGATGCTTTTTATAAACAAAAAGAGTTTAAATATTTGTTTAAATAAAGTTTTTGCTGTCCTAATCTTGATGGCATTTGATGATTGACTGTCTGTCCCCACACCCACCACACCACAGCCCTCAATTCCTTACAGGCCTTTTTATCAGAAACACAAAAAGGTAACTGTGAGCTCCCTTCCCAGAGGCTTCAGAGAGCTGCTATGGAAAAGCCAAACTGAAAATGTGGAAGAGAAACAAAGATATGCTAAATAATCCCAGTTACTTTTCCTGTTTAGATTTAAAGATTAATATAGACACAGCTTCTAGGTCTGTGTGCAGCTTTATGACACTCCTCTGACAGAACTTAGTTTTCTAGAAAGGTCCATTTGTCAAACACTGAAATGCTTTCCATTAGGAAAAACAAAGCCAAACAGTTACAGCAAATACATTTCCAGCACCAAGAAATTTCTGAGGTTGCCTTTGACATTCCTCAAATATCAGCAAACTTAACGCAAGGCTTGGAAAGTCAGACTGAACAGAGTGTTCAAAGGCAAACCTCGAGGAGGAGAGCAGAGTGTGCTTTTCTGGCAGTGCCTGGCTCTGCACTGTGCTGGTGATGAGCATTAACTCATGACACTCCCCACTGCTGCGAGCTGGGGGGTTCTCCTAAGGTGCACGCTCTGGAGAACACGGTACCTGGGAGCCCCTGAGGGACCCTCCCCGCGCGGTGGGGATGTGGGATACATACAGATTCGGACTGGGAGGAGTAGAGCAGGTTTTTGAAGGCTTTGTTTGCTGCCCGCAGCAAAGACCAGACAGAACAGGTCCGTTCCTGAGTGTGTTTTTCTCCTCTCTCTTTCGCATTGTTGCACAGGAATGTACCAAAGAGGCAAGAGTAGGTGTGCTGCACCAACTTCACCTGCACAAAGCAAGACAAGTATTGTCAGATGGCAGAAGGTATCAGCTTAATGGGAGAATCAACATTCAGGCTTCAGAAGCAGCAAGCCCTTCCTTTGCAGGGCAATACAGCCCCTTCCTAAAGGCTGAGACACAAATACACCTCACCTTTTCTGCATACCTCCTTATAAACTAATTGCAAAAAGACTTCAAGCATAGCAGAACCTTTTAAAATCACAACTAAAACAATTCAGGAAATAATATAAAATATATAGACAAGGTACTTGCTCATAATCAAGCATAAAAGTCTTGCTGATTCAAAGTCATAGGGCTGTAGGAGAGAATCACAAAACCACAATACCTCTGTTACAAAGTATTAATGCAGCACAGAAATTCTGAGCATTATTCTCTCCAGCCTGGGGTCCCAGTATACAAAAACCACTTAAAATGAACTTAAAGTTAAACGTACAAATAGCTTCCTTGGGATTATTCAGATGTTGAAATGAAGACGAGTACTTCAACACCCTAACAAATTAGGGAGGCCAGGATACTGAGGGTAGGTTCACACACAGCTCCTGTAGCTCAGCAGTGTGCTGTGAAGCCAGCTACAACCTCTTGGATCTCATTTCACAACTGACCTCGGCCAGGACCGTGCACGTACTCGGTTACATGGCTGAGCTGGCAAGTGGTAATTCAAGTCAGCCACAATCACAGGAATGTGCTTTAAATCTGAGTGAATCAGACATTGCATAAAAACTTTTATTCTTCGTGTTGCTACTCCTGCAGTCAGTGACTGCCACCTTCCCAGAGACCTGCTTCCGGCCTTGAGAACAGATTTGCATCATCCTAGACAAATTTCTAATAGAAGAGCTGTCCACTTCAACAGAAAATAAACTCAGCTCATGTATCCTGCACGTTTTCAGCAAAGAAATGGAAAAAAATTAATGGAAAGGTACAGTGCAGGTTGTTTTTGGAGGAGTCATCTTCAAGACAAAACAAGATCATAGGGGGAAGTTTATATTGCCAGCAACTTTTTTTTTTCATGCTATGTGGATGTATTGTACCGAGTTATTTCAGCACCTCTTTGAGACTATTAAGTTCACATTATTTGTTTTTTTGAAAGTCTAAAAGAAGTCCTTAAGGGTCCTGCTTCTGTCCTGTGAGTGAACAGAGCTTGGGTCCCATGAAGCACACAAGTACTTTTGCCTCCTGTGTCTGGGCAGTTTTCCCGTTACCTTTATCAGGCTGCAGCACATCACAGACAGGTGGGGAAATCAGAAACCCCTCGGGGCTCTACACTATGTAACTACTGGGTACTGGTTTAGAAGCAGTCTATAAAACAGCAATCTCTCAAGCCACAACTCACAAGGAATGCTTCGTTAAACTCGAAAGAGCAAGGGAACTGCCTCTGGAGCTGATGGACGCAGTCCAGCCACTGTAAAAACACTGGGCAGCGCTCATTTAGGTCATCCGAATTCTCACCATGGCCACAGCGATCTGCAAACTTGTGGCCAAAATCCAGCCACTCCGTCTCCACTAGCACCTGGAAACCCTGCAGAAAGGAAAGCACAGATGAAAAGTTCGTCTTTCTCTTTGGGTCCATTTTGTAAGACTGCCTGAGACTTGTGGGAATCACCTTATTACTGTGTCCTCACCCTTATTTCCCTTCAGCACTGGCCTCATTACTTATCTTTACTGCTCTGCCTAATGCCTCTGTGCTTGGAAATGCTGCACAATAAAATCAGGACAGATATTAATTTCCAAACCTACGTGAACAGAAAGGGAATAAGGCAGGTTCAGTCCTCAGCGACTGGCAGGGAAGATCCTGACATAAGACCTATCTTGGGCAGGCAGGTGAGAGTAGGAACTTCATCTTGATCAAAACTATAACCAACAATTTGGACAGGAGAGGAAACCTTAAAGCTCTCCCTAGAAAGTGATGGGCAGATCTTGTCCATCACAAAAGAAAACAATTCATCCACAGGAGGACACCCACGCTCAGAGTGCTTGCCTATGCATACACCAAATGCAGCACAGTCACAAGGTTGATCAAAGGTTGAGTCGTGTCATTTCTCATGCAAACACCAAGGACATTTCCAAACAGTGCCTAAATGAGCTCCTGAATGGGACACATCTTACAGGACCTAAAACCCATCACAGGTTCAGAAGGTTTTGATTCTTAGTGGGAAGGAAAATTGTAGAGCATGCTTATTGTCTAAGGTTGTAATTAGAGCAAAAATAATAGCTGATAGCTGAAAAGCTTGAAATGTGACACTGCTGAAGATTCATTTTCATAAATATTTCTGATCCTTGTATAGATAACTACAGTTTGTGGCTTCCTCTGATGTGGTGGTGACAAGAAGGCAGGCAAAGGGTGTGTACAGAAGAACTCTGCACTTGGAAGAGGAAGGACAGAACACTGAGGAGGGACCAGGAGGAGGTTCTAGGCCAAGGACAGAGCCTTATGTTTTGACCTGATGGATGCCCACTTCCAGAACCCATGTGAAAAAGGCTCTAAGACGTTTCCACAATTTCATCCAAAAGGCATTGCTACAGTTTAAACTCCTAGTCCTCATGTGTCCAAGGCTTTTAAGTGGTCAGACATATGCTTCTGTTCTAGACAACAAAGGCATCTTGCATGTGGGCTGCCAGCTGGACTCCAGCCATCACATATCACACAATGCTGAAAAGTGACAGGGGAAAAAAAGAAATTCAGGCTGAAAAACTCAGAGAAATATAACTGACAGAAGACAAGCAGAATGTGAAACTGGGAAAACAGGCAGTTGGGAAAGCTAGAGAAGAGGAAGGCTTTGTATCAACAGCTGGCCGAGAACCTTCAACGGTGTAATGGAAACTGCAGCACAGCACTTTGTACTAGGTACTCCTAAGTGAAATATGGGGAAACAGTGACAGCACAGGGGGAAGACAATCTGCTTGGCAGTCAGACTCTGGTTACACCTATATGGAACTGCATCTGCAGACTACTGTTGGTAAACTCCTCTTCCAGTACAAAAAACTGAAATCACCTATAGACAGACCTCCTCAGGACAGGTCCCACACTCAGTAACTGCCTCACGTGCTGAGGGGTGGTTTACAAACCTCTGTGGTCCTGTAATAGGGATCGAGCAGCAGTTTGGCCAGTGCCACGATCTGGGGGGTCCGGTCCCAGCCGTCTGAGCAGTGCACCAGGACCGGCCGCTGGTCGCGGTCCACGGCATGAACCACCAGCAGCGCCGACTTCAGGAGCACAGACAAGTGCTGCAGCCACTTGGTACTTTCCAGAGCTGATAACCAGCTAGAGGAAAACAAGAGAAGACAGTTTTTTGCTCCTTCAAAATCCTTCCAGGTTTGGACCTTTGAATTTCTCCAGTCAAAGCTCCTATTTTAATAAGCTGTGAATGTCATTCTTGACTATTTTTCATTTATGCCTCGTTAACACTTTCCCAGATTTGTAAGAAAACCCACTGGAGGAACAGCCAATCTCTGGTACCTGCTTTGCTGTGAAAGACTTGCAGGAAGCTTAAATAACACTTTTCCAGACAAGAGCATAACACATCACCAGCCATGGGCAATGTAAGCACTTCTGGGGAATCACTACTTAGAGCTTTACAAGGGGTGCTGTAGGGATCTTAAGAATCTCCAATGCAAAAAGACCTACATGTCCAGTTTAGTAAGGATGCCATTCTGGATCTAGTCTGAAACTATGCAGGACTCTTAGCATCACAGGGAAGTGGTGCAACTACAGTGTCCTAATGAAGGCCCAACCTTAGAAGCTCCAGAGATGATGGGCCATTAAAGGCTGCTTATCCACAACATTGGAGGGCTGTGAAATACGTCTCCTGAAATGACTCTATAAATGTGTGATGAACATGGAACACTGATAAAATTTTCTGAAGTAGAGTCAAGCTGTAAAGATTAAAGAACTGAGAACAGCAGGTAAGCCTAAGTGCTAGCAATTAGAAGCCCATCTGAAAGGAGTAAAGTTCTAGTATCAATACTCAAGGCTACATCTCAGACATTCAATGACAATAATCCAATGACTTCCTTCAGCTCCAGCTCCACAGAAATGAAAACACAGATTAGTGTTATTACACAGGAAAGTCATCACTGAATTCCAGTTTACAAATCAGCACTTGCAGAAACATGAACAAAGGCAAAACCCACCAAACATCCACTTACTTTCCTGGGTCTGGCATCTGTGTGCAGAGCAAACGCAGCGACTGAAAGCTCTTCCGGATGGAATGAATATTTGCCATCCCCATGAACACCACTTCACAGTTGGGATAATATTCTGCAGGGACAAAGGAAAAGGGAAGAAACTAAGAGCTACATTAATTTCTAAAAGAAGCTTTTTTGTAAGAACAACAACCGTGGACAGATGAAATAATCTGTTTATGAATATTCTGTACAGAGAAACTAGCCCTTGGATTTGGGCAGGTATTCCAGACATTACACCACAGCACAGCAAAACAGGAAGGAGTTAGCAAAGTGCTGGTGTATTTATTTTCAGTATTTCACATCACATTACAAAAAGCAGAGCACAAACCTAGGGGAACAGTGATATCACTGTGCTTGAGCTTACAGAATGGTTTTAAAATGACTGAGAAGCACCGTCAGAGACTGTGAGGCATGAACAACATTTAACTGATAGTTTATGGGTGTTCCATAATAAAAAAAGGATTCATTGGGACTCAGCATGTGGGATATATGTTTATATGCAATATTGAGGGGTCTCGTAAAAGATTTTTATATCCTTTGACTTTTTTAACTGTTTATCAGCACGACAAATTCTGGTCCAAACTGAACAACCTGTCAGCAAAGGACTATGTAACTCCAGTCAGAAGCAACTGACAGCATCAAAAAATTCAAGCTTTTTTTTTTCCCACTGATTTATGTTATATATAAAATAAAGCACAATATAAATGAGCTCTTTTTACACAGAGAGAACAAAGCAAACCTGACACTACCTGGAGAAAACATGTCAGTAAAAAAGGGGGCACTTAACGCAAGTCAAGTTTCTTTAAAGGAGACACGCTGTTTGGAAACTTGGGGCCAATATATAGGGAGAAAACTAAACTTCCTGTATACTCTGCTTTTCTGTTTTCAGATTTTATTCTCTGATGAGGAGTTTTTTTGTAGTTTTGAGGTGTTCAATGGAAAAGTCAACTTTTCTCACTGGTGTCTACATATCAAAGTGCAATCAGGGCAGCAAAGAGCAAAACAAGAATATATGGTCAAAAAAGCTTTATCTTATCTACAGTTTTTTGGTCTGGTATTTTTTTTCAAGACTTTCCACCCATGGAATTTTAACAGGCTGCATTCATATCCAATAGTAACCACAAAATAATATCTTGTTTGTAATACCAACAATTTACAAGTGCCAAAGAATACAGAGTGGTAACTGCAAATGTGTTACAAATCCAAGATGAACCAGGGTTTCAGATGCTGTGGGTTAGGATATAAATGCTGAAAAACATTTCAGCTTTAGAAGGACTGCTGAAAAGTTGTACTCTGCACAACCATTCTTGAATATTATTATCCTGTGGATTTTTACAAGTTTTTTTCAGGTTTTTTTTTTAGACACTAGCACACTGGACACCTTTGTCTCGCTCTGGTTTACATATTTGACTCAGCAGGGGAAGGTAATCAGCATATTCCACACAGCTCAGCATTTACTGAGCACTGTTACCAGCTGGGTTCATGCTCTGAGAAAGAGATTTAACAGCTAAACCTGCCCTTTTGAAGGGCTGCTACAACAATCCAGAACTCTCGTGTAGGTGAACAGTCCTTGCATCCACGCAGCCTGTTAAATATCGGTGTAACGATGGTTGAGGGAAACCTCTTGCTTGGTTTGATGGGGAGCTGAGGAGAAATGCTGCTTACCTGGGCACTCACAGCCCCCCCCTTTGGCTCTGTTTGCCACAGCTGCTGCGTAAGATCGTGCGTCCAAGATCAAAAGCTTCTGAGGCTGTATTGCCAAACTCTCTGCTCCTGAAGCATTAGAGATGGAGGAATCTGGGGAAGAGGACATGCAACTGGTGAGTAGCTGAAAGGAGCCTTCTGGGAGTGTTTCCAACAGTGATTCACAATGCACATGCACTGCCCCTACAGAAACTGCAGAACTGGTTAAATACAAAGGATTGAATCTGTTACAGCACCTGTAAGAGACTGAGCCTTTATATAAAGCTTTGCCCATTACAGAAAAGAAAGGGTGATAAACGTACCAAATTCCACATCAGAGAGGTCCCCGCCATTGGAGAAATCTCTGGAACAATTTCCATTCATTAATTTGTTACTGTTGGACCTCGAATCTGAGGCACAGGCTTTGGCTACAGACTGGACAAGGTGTTCATCATCTGCATTCCTCCAGCCCCACCAGCTGACCTCGGGCTGTCCACAGCGAGAAATAACTGCTCCATTGCTCTGGTGCCTGAGGAAGAACAGAATAAAAAGGAACGTGATGCATAACTTGAAGAATCAGGATGAAAAACACAGAGGGCATGACAAATAGAGGAAAAATTCCTTTGCTGTGTAGGTGGTAGAGCCTGGAGCAGGCTGCCCAGAGAGGCTGTGGAGTCTCCGGCTCGGGAGAGACTCCAAACCCTTTCTGGATGTGACCCTGGGCACCCTGCTGTAGGTGACCTGCTGGAGTAGGGGGCTGGACGAGATGATGTCCAGAAGTCCCTTCCAACCCCACCATGCTGGGATCTGTAAAATTAAACGGTGCACTCAACTGGGGACCTCTCTGTGGTTCACAGCTATCCTCAACCTGCAGTTCAGTGGCAATGTATCCCACGTGCTTCCCTTCAAAATGCTGACTATCACCACACAGGCACTGAAAGGTAAAGTCAAAGCTGAGGTCAGTAGAGAAAACAAAGCATTTTCTTGCTCAGTATTGTTGCCTGTTGGCCAGTGAATGCCAGGAAACATTCGGGAACGGCAGACGAGGCAGCAAAGAGGTTTTCAACACCTGCTGGGTAGTCAGGTCTGCTGCTGTCATACCAGAGTAAATAGGAAAGATCAATGTAACTCATTTTAAAGCTAGAAGACAGGAATAAAGCCACAGATTCACTTCTGGATGAGATTTTTAAAATCAAAACATCCCACTAATTAAATCTGAAGAATGCTACAATCTTGGTAGGAAATACTGGCAGAATTTGGCACACCTGTCTGATGATGCCAATGGTAACCCAAACCCTTACTCTGCTCTGTGATAGCCATTTCTAGGCATCACCCCATTATCACTGGGGACAGCCCTTGAGCGCTGCAGAACTGTATCCAGAAGCTGGTTTGTTTTAAGTATCATGTCACTAGCTAGAGCTTTTTGTGTCTCAGGATGCTAAACATCTGCAGCTAGCTATTAGCTTCTGTTGGAAAGGAGTGGCTCTGCCACCCCCTTTTCAGCTGCTGCTCCTCTACATGTGGGTCTTCTCTAGCCCTCTCTGGGTAGTGGTTCATCTGTTGCCTCTCAAACACCAGCTGGATCTACCAGAGGAGCACCAACGAGCTGATTAAGAGCAACAGCAGCTCTTACATGTAAGCACCAGTGTGATGCCAGGCTGGTAATTAATACTAAGTCCACAAGCAAGTAAATTCTGCTACAGACACCAAAGTAGCACTGAAAAAGAAAATACTGCATTTTAACTATTTTTCTTCTAAAATGTGTTATAAATTGCAAGCACACTCTATATATACTGATAAACTTCAGTTTCACTCACAAATGGAGGAGGGAGATCAGTCTATCAATAAAAAAGTGTCAGAGAGATAACAGAAGGACCTAACTTGAATGTAGATATCTTCTGGGAAGTCACATTAAAAAAATAAATAAAATCAGCTTTTCTAAAAGTAAAGTGTCTGAAGAGTTGGTAGTTCTTCTCTTAAATTTGACCTGGCTTCTTGTCCTATGCAAAGGACAATCTGAAATAATGAAAACGTACCCAGCCACTGCAAACATACTCTGAAAAAGATTTTAAAACCTTCCCCTATAATCTATGGTTGTCTCTCTTCCAACCAGAACCTGCTGACCTGGCAGTGATGGATTAACAGCTGGACATTATAATCTTGAAGGTCTCTTCCAACTATTATAACAAGGAGTATTGAAACATATTGTCATTGTAATTTCACCTATTGCCTCCACGCTGGCACATCCCACTGCTGCCAAGAGAATGTAATTCCCTGTTCACTGGAGTGTTTACATCTGGCATTAACCATGTTCTCCTTCACCAGCAGCACCCTGGACTCAGAGGGCCTCAGCAAGAAGGAAGCCTGGCTGTGGCTATGAGGTGGGGTGGCCAAAGCAGAGAAGAGACACAACTTCTCTCAGGCTGCACAGAGAGTCAAGAGCTCTGAGGAATGGGACACCTCAAAGTGTTTACTCCCTGCCTCATGTCCCACCTGAAATACCCTGCCACTTATCCACATGTTCTTCTCCATTTCAACAGCCTGCAGGTGTCCATGCCTTTAAGGAAAAGGTGCCTCCAGACAATGCTGCTTGGAGCCACACCAGAACACCTTATTTATAGTCTGCACATGCCAATTCCAGTCCCTATATGCTGTGATGCAGCAAAGGATTTGAGATGGCCAGTTTCCTGCAAACAAACTGTCCATCTCAGCTTTGTGACAACCCAAAGCTGGTTCATCCCCTCCAAAAAAGCCACTGCCCAGAATGGTGAGGGCCAGCAGAGTTTTTGAGCAAATTTAAACAGTTGTCCTGGACAGTCCTGAGTGGGAAGAAAGCCCTGCCAAAGCTACAAAGCTGCATTTCTTTTCCTCTCACCACTCTAATCAATGTCTGTGGAGGTGTGACAAGGGGGTTTATAACTCATTGTCAGAGCTGTCAGGCCCACGTTGGGTGCTGCCCAGCACCCCCTTGGTGCTGTCACCACTGGGCAGAGCAGCGGGCGGCTGCCTGGTGCTGCTCCTCCGACGAGGGGTTAAGGCTCCCTGCTGCCAAAAATTATACAATAGGTCGTGACACAGTACTTTGAGCAGTTTTCATAGCTCTTTTGCAATTATTTCATATCAAATTCCTTCACCGAGAGGAAGGAACTGACCCACTGGATTAACTGAGGCAAAGGCACCTGCACGCCAGGGCACTTCCAGCAGGCGCTGGCCGATGGCGTGCAGAGGCAAACGTGTTCCTGCTGGAATTAATGCCCTTCCAGAACCAGCTCTGTTGATAGCAAATTAGTTCAGCAAAAAATACCTGCCAATCACTGAAAGGCCACCCAGCTCCCCGCTACGCTTGCAGAAGTGACAAAAGAAAACAAACCATCACCATAAATGTAAGAAATCTATTTTCAACACTCGGTTAAGCTCGTCTGGTTTTCCATATGTTCCCTCAGATTTCATCCCTACCTGCCTGCAGAATCATTTTCATAGGTTCATAAACTGTTATATTTTCATCTCCAGGTTCTTGCCACCCATTTACACCACGAACAAAAAGGAACCATTATGCCCAAAGCTGAGTTCATTAGTAGCTGTGAAGCCCTTGCGCTCTTAAGCCTGCACAAACACGTGATGTTCAGATGTACCAGCAGAAATGGGCAAATAATTCTATTTAGGGTGATGTTGGAGTTCTGAGGAATCACACTCATTCCAGCCAGCCTGGCCAGGGGAACAAAAACCTGCCAACTGTTTCAGTGTGATTCTGAGGTCCCTAGAGACAGACCTGGGGCTAAGATGGTGTCACTCAGCTCTCAGGAACCAAAAAAAGAAAAAAACCTAAAGCAAAGCCTCCATGGCAAATTTCCTAACCCTCCAGAGACACAACATGCAGCCTTCCTACAGAAATGAAACAGTAAATCACCAGGAGGTTAACTACAAAGCACTGAGTAACTGTATGATGTCTGGGACACCTCTGCACATGCTTAATTCTCCTTGTGTTCAAGCAACCTTTGACTACAACAATAAATCCTCTAAGCCACAAAACGGCTTTTCCCTAACATTGATTTTTTTGGGATCAAAGAGACGAGCTCCAAAAGTCACATTACAGGCCAGATTTCTCTACATAAACACCTGCCTAGGTTTAAAAAGTTGTCAAGTGAAAAACTGCAGAAGCTGGGTCTGAGATTTTTCTAGAAAGGGGATCACAAAATAGAAGCAATGCTCCTGACAGACCCATCACAAGTGTTTTGGAAGTTTGCCTCTGAATCCAGCCCGCTCAGCTCTTCAGCCTGTACACCCTGTCAGAGCTCTCAAATGCCTCACATGAGCAGACAGTGAGGGGGCTGCTGCCAAGTGTCTCTGGTCTCTCTCTGTCCCAGTGTTCAGTATCTGAGGTAAGTTACTGGTTAAATTTTAAAAGATCTGTATTACTTTTTTTTTTTTTTACCATTTTCATTAGATTAAAGACCATTTTCAATAGATTAAAAAAAACTGAACAAGCTTTTGTCCCTTACTCTTCCAAAAGTAAGAAAAAAGCTATTTTTATGGCAGCATATATATAGAGAAAACTATACATGGGTTTCCAATCACACGGCTCATCAACCACTAGCTGCTATGAGTCCTATCAGAGCACAGAATAATGCACTGAATGTCTGAAAGAAAAAAAAAATCTATTACCAAACATCAAGGTAAGGAAAAAAAATCAAAAAAGAGAAAAATTTTTCTCCCACCGATTTTAAGATTACAAATGGAAAACAATGCAGCAAATTCACATACACAGTCTTGTCAGGAAGGCAGAAAATGGAACGCCAGGGATTAAACAACTCCAGTCCATGAGGTCTTTGGAATGTTCACATGACTCTCTACAGACCCCCCAAACACACACTGTACCCAAGAACACTAGGAAGGTGACTTCTTTGGTGATGGGCCTGGAGCTCAGGTGGTGGGAAGAGGGGGGATGCTCCCCTGTGCTACCTGTGTGGGCAGGTGAGAGGTCCCCCAGTTGTGTGACACCATAAAAGGCACAAAGTGGCCTGAAATGTGCTGTTCAAAATTGAACACAAACCCATATATCAATTTCACTATTCTCTTTTATATATATAAAAAAAAAAATATACATACTTATATGTGCTACCATAATAAAAAAAGCACCTCAAGCCTTAAAGACTCAGCATACGCTGGAAAGCATTTTCCTTCCTCACACTGCTGAACAGAGGATGGAGCAATTTCTCAATATTTGGGCAGAGCCTATACTAAATTCCCTCCCCCCTCCCCCTGTTATTTGGAAGGAAAAGGAGACAAGGCAGGAGGATTTGCAGGGACTGCTCTGCTGCTGCAGGCTAATTTGTTCTCCTTTCACAGAACAAGAACTCTTAAAGCCAGGTAAATAATGTTTGGTGGCCTACTCTTAACTCTTGTACACTTGCTCCTCCAACCCAGGGCGAATGAATTTGTCAAATTTACTGCTCTCTAAATTTAGCTTGCCCCTCAGAGAACAGCTTTTCCCTTCTCTCCTCAGGAGGAATGGGCGGCTCAGCAGGCTTAATGGAATTATCAGTAGTTGTTACCTTTGTAATCCCTTTGTCATCTGATTTTTTAAAAGAGATTTTGTACATTTGTGGGAGGATAACTACTCCAGGAAAGTGGTCATGGTATTGAATTACAGGTTCCAGAATATTTGGAAAAAAAAACAACAAAACAAACAGATGCTGAAATGTATTTCTTGGTAAAGAAGCTGCTAAAACCCAATATCTCAGGAAAGCAATTTTGCTCTGAAGAACTACTGGACTCAATCTAAGAAAGAGACAGTCTGCTTAAAACCATCTAAAATATGTAGATAGAGCAAGCACATTCTTTGGTAATTTGCATTTTATATCTCCCCTAAATAATTTTGGTATTTGTCCTTGCTTATACTGCAGGCTGAGTATTATCCAGATGAGAATTAGAGAAAACATACCCAGAGATGCCATTTATCATTTCTTCAGCTGTGCTGACATCTTCATCTTACATTTTTTCATTTTCATATTAAAAAAGAAGTAAAATCCATCTCAACTGAGGTGATTGCCCTAGGAATGACTCGCAGAAGATGCAAATGCTGAGTGCTCCTACTGCATGTGTGCGGAATTAAAAGACACAAACCATTATTCCCATCCAGAGGGAACGTGTAGGAAATCTGCCTCAGCCTCATTTATGGCTTGACAAGGGCCAATGTGTGCTGCTGTCTCACACTTCTTGGAGCTTTGATTAGGTGAAAACCAATAGATATATGGGTATCACACAAAGAGCCCAAGCTATCAGGCCTAGCAGGTCACTCTGTGCTGGCAGCTAAATACAGCTCAGAACATTTTCTCCTGCAAGAGGTCCCCTGTCATCCTTGCTTGGTATCTGAACCCCAAGCGTGGTCTGTGTTTTGTTCCAAGGTCCTCTTCTCTACAGCAGTTCTGAGATCCTTCTGAAGTGGAACAGCAGCACCTCACCCCAGTCAGAGTCCTGGGGTGGATCAGCTTAGGGATCACTCCACCAGGCAGCACCGAGGGGACTGGGCTGGGTTTTGTTGCCTCTTCCCAGCCTAGTTTTCCAACTCTACCATAGCAGCTCCTGGGCCTTCATGCTGTATCCCTCCATACCATGTTACACACCCAAAAACACAGCAAGATGCAAGCCAGACCTCACTTTACTTTGAATAAATGATTAAAATAATACTTTTAAATACCTTTAACACTTTTGCTTAAGCCTGTCAAGCCCAGTGAGGGCACATTTGGGGCCCAGAGGACCCTGCATATCTTTCATTACAAGCCAGAATTCCCAGTTACAAATTACTGCAGCTTTAATTTGCTAGAACACCCCATTTACAGCCAGTGAAAGCTGTTCCACCTGCAAGGGCCTCACCTGTACACAACAGCAGGGATACGTTTCCAGGACCGAAAGCTTGCCACACTCTCTAGCTCTTTATCTGTGATCCAGGCAGGAACTATGATCTCCTGGGGGTAACTGCCACAGAGTCTGTGAGAAAAGTGGTGCAAAGGGTTGAACGTTAGTGATACAGAGCAGTTACTTCTCAGACAACACACAACTATGCAGCACGGGCACCCCGACAGCTGCTCATCTCAGCAAAGTGCCAATCTGGGAATTCCTGCTTCACTGGGTGCTGAACTCCTTTGCACGTGCAGAAACCACTGCAAACATCAAGGAGCATAAATGCATTTCAGAATGAGAAGATCCAAGCTGGTATTTTCTGGGGAAATACCCACGTAGGTGATCTTTAACTCCAGCTGCTGAAATAAATGGGACCCAAGAAGAGAATTTCCACATCCCTCTGTGCTAAAGAATCAGCCACTCCATTTCTGGGTCACAAAACACCAAAGCAGAGCCACCCTGGGCTACTGGATTCAAGACAGAAAACTTGTGTAGGTGTGGAGAAAGTACATTGGCTAATCAACCCTGGCTGCAGGCAGGAATGTGAGTGCACCGGCTTATGTCTGATGGGCTAACTGAACTTTCTTCTACCTTAGGCACCTCCCACCCCATGACCTCACTAATAAATCCACAACTGCCAGTGAGGGCAGTGCAGGCAGTCAGCACTGATTGCAACATCTTGCTGAATCAAACTAGCTCATCCTCAGTCCATCCTCTTGAAGAGATGCATTTACTGCACAAGGAGGACAGACCTGAACACGTCTCTAGGACAGTTCTACTCAGAAAAATCTAACAAATAATCCTGAAAAAAATGCTCTTTCTCCAGTGCTGGCTGTAAGAAGGAAAGGAGTAGCAGTGTCATTCTGATATAGAAAGGGTTTTTTTCCCTTTTTCTTTAGTATTAAACATGCAAGGAACAGCTATT